TGGAGAATAACTGACCTAAACAACGTGTAGGCCAGGGGACTTCTAGTGGAATTTGGTCAACAAAATCTCACAGCTTATAGGTCTTTGTGGTTTATGTGTCATCCTAAACCAGAAGTCTGTATTTATTTTTAGAGCAAGATTATTATGGCCCTTTATGAAATCCAGCTTACGTCTATATTACAGCAAATGGCAGTTAGGTTGAGCAATCCAGTTAATATATCTAAGACTATTTAGTTTTTAATCGTACATATTTAAGATTGCATGATTTTCTGAAACAACAGTCTTTGCAAAAATGGATTAAAAGTGATTGTAAACCAGTTTGCTTTGCACTACAACCTACAACCTATTGTATGATTATTTTCCTAAAAATGAATGTAAAATTTCCCGATGTTATTATATTCTGACAAAGTGACAATTGCTCATAAAATATTTAATAATGTGCTTTAAAAACTAGGAAAAATAACTTGCAGAACATATATTACATTTTAAATAATGATTTGGTTTAATGCAAGATTGATGATGTATGGAGTTTATAAATCATTCTGTAACTAAGAATGATTATGTCACCACTCTTGTGGAGGGAGGGTTCTCATGGGAAGTTAAGTTATTGTCTTAAATCAATATGCCCGGTGCTTGTGACACTGGTAAGGCAACACACTTCAACACACACAGTGACAAATGGTGGCCTCTTAAGCTGATTTCAAGGTGCAAATAGAATCTGCTTTTTATCCATTTGCCTTCTGTAGAGAACAAATCCTTACATTTCACAGTTGAGGGATACAACACTTGAAGTATCAATGACCTGGGACAGGTATCACATTGCTTTCCATTCTCTTATAATAGATTCCATTATTAAAAGAAGATAAGGATGAGAGCCAAAGAGGGGAACACACCTCCAGGGGAAGCTGAAAGCCAGAAGACAGAAAGCAGATGGAGGGAGAATAAAAAAACATAATGAGGCATGAAAATTCTAGGGAGTGAGAGGACTTAGTTGACAAATTTGAGCATTTTGAAACAACTAGCAGTTGGTTTATGGTGACTGTAATGAGGTAATTAAGAAGGGAAATTAAGGATAGGTTTATTTAAAACTACGTAAGTTAAAATGAGGCAATTATTAACGTGAGAAAATATAAACATAATAAAACATCTGTCTCTAATGAACAATATTCACCAAGTTACATTAATGTATAATGTGATTTTCTATAACTGAAATAATGATATAATTAAACTGGGTAGGAAGAGACAGGGAAATGGTCATGTGCAATGAGGCTGCATCTACCATAACGGGAAGTACACAGTTAGTATCCAAAAATTACAAATTTAGAAATAGCAGCATAAATCATTTATTTAGAAATATGAAAATAAGTACAATGACATAACCAAGAATAACTACACAGCTGAAAGTGTTAAAAGTGATTTCTTTCCAAAGCAGAAATAGTGTGGGGGTGGGGCAGAGTTGAGATGCTTTTTATAATAACCCCTTTTAAATATGTTCATGTATTACTAATAAAATGAAACAGGTAACACCTAAAAAGAAAGACTATGGTGATTTTTTTCTGACAATTTAAAAAGCGATTTACAAATTTATTCCATTTTCATTTTGAAGAAGTATTTCATCTGTAAATTAAAATACATATATATCATCAGCAAGACGACTCAATTGGATATCTTTAGCATTTGGGTGTTGAGTTCTAGTTCTGCCTCACAGAGTTGCATGAGCTTAGGCAGGTCATGTCATCTTCTGTGAACTTTAGTTTTGAGTTACTGTGAGAACTTAATATGATTATGTCTTAATTTAGGAGGTGCTTGACACATTATTTCTTGCACAACTTCTCAGCAACATTAGCCCCAACTTTATTCTTTTCTTCATGTTCATAGTGTCTATTTTATCACAATCTTTGGCATTTGTTTGTATCACTATGACCACACCTTCTCAGTTTCTTTTGATGGTTTCTCCTACTGGAAGCACTTTCCTAGAGACCCATCATTCTACAGCCTCACACCAGATGACTACAATTATTTTCCTGGCGTGAACAGCCACATGCAAACAACTCCTACATTCATATTTCCAGCACAGATCATGCCTGTGACTTCCAGACCTGTATGTCTAACTGCCTTGTTGACATCCTTTTTGGGATTATTCAGGTGTGCTTCAAACTCAACCTATCTAAACCCAAACTCATAATCTATTTCCTCCAAATTTTTTCTTCCACTGTTCCTTAATTTCATGAATAGCACCTTCATCCTTCCAGTTGCACACCCAGAAATCTAGGAGTTCCTTGACATCTCCTGCATTGACAGTTAAATCCTGCTCACACCCAAAATGCAATCCATCAACATAGACTGTGGATTTTACATACTAAATATCTCTCAAATTGGCCTCTCCTCTCTTCTTCCACCACCACTATAAACACAGTCTAATTCATGCCATAATCATTTCACACCTACGCCATAAAAGTTTTTCAACTATTCTTCCCCTATCCATTCTCACATCCTATAATCCATTTTCCATAGATAATCCTGAATTGTTGGCCTTTTATCACTGTCCCTTCCTCTGGCATATCACGAATTTTCAATGCATATTTTTTTTAAATAAATGCCTACTTGCCTGAGGTCTATTTAAGTAGTTTTGAATGTCAAATAAAATAATGTAAGCGCTGTAAATGAAATACTGTAAATGAAATATTGTGAAGCAGGATTTACAATGTTTGGGAATATTGACTTTGATACCTTAGAAGTAAATTCCATTAAGTGTAAAAAGCTCTACCACCTTTTAAGGGAAAATAAATTAGATTCAAATAGATAGAAAAGCAGGGAGAAAGATGAGATGTTTGAATAGAAGAAGGTCAACGTTTTGACCCTTGCTATTTGTATCAGTGTGTTTGTTTTTTTGCTTTTTGTGGCATCTATTTTTTCCTCTATTTCTTTGGATTTCTGGGATAGCTAGTGATTTAAGACATTTGATGTCAAGGTAAAAATTATCATCTGTGATAAAAGACGGAATATGTTTATTAGTTTCACTTTGGAGGGGATTACAATTCAACCACACATTAATGAGTTAGCAAAATGGTCAGAATACATAGTGTAAGGACCAATTTGAAAGCATAAGAAAACAGAAAGAGAAGCCACATATGAAAGAGGTCAGGGGGTGAGAACTGGCCATGTGAGACAAGGGCAAGGAAGAATCTCAGAGCCTGGTTGTACCAGGCGACTGCAAACCACTGCTCCATGTGGGGGCAGAGTCTGGGGGACCCACTTGAAAGCAGAGTTGTGAGGACTGTGAAACAATTATTTTCTTATGCTTTACACTGAACAGACCTGGAATATTCTACTTTTCAAGGAAAGAAGGTTGTGGAAAATGTGTGTGGAAGTTTGAAGGAAAGCCACAAACATGAGTAAATGCTGAGAACATTAAATCTGTGTGGATTACTTTCACACAAAAATCCTGAGAAAGTGTAGAGAAAGGAAGACCAAGTCTTTTGTAGCTAAACCTCCCTTTTGGTGCAAATGTAGAATTTCAGTTAGATTTCACAAGGAATGTCTAAAATCACATCTAAAATCCCTAAAGAAGCATGGCTTCCAAGTCATAGTCTGGCAGATTGTATGGGTTGGTTTAGGCCTGTAGCTTTGCTGAGGGACTTCATGGAAGGATTGAACATTACAACCCCTCACTGTGAATGAAGAGCTTCTATTACAGGTATAAGGCAGGTGTTCAGCATGGCACCTGTATATGAAGCATCAGGAAGTTGATAATATAGAGTGTGAGATTCTCATTGTTCATTTTGCTGGTACCATTTGAAAGGCATGGCTAAGAAACTTAGTGTTTTGGTTAGTCATTCTGTGGATCCAGAGAATTCAAGAAAATATATTACTCACAGACAAAAGTTTTGGCCAGAATCTGACTTTTCATGATATCTCTCTTCATGCTAGTATATTATATTGACTAGGATTGGCTAAAGGGTAGAAAAGTTGTGACTTTCTTTGCAGGGCTACACAGGGAGCTTCTGAGCAGAGACATAGGATAACGTGAAAAAGATGAGAGAGTGTATGTGTAATGAGTGATGTGAAATGAGTGGTTGAGGTGAGGCTCCTCATTTCTTTTTTAATTTTTAATGTCTACTTCCATTGTACTTTTCAGTTTTTTACACTATGGCAGAATAAAATATGACTTCTTATTCAGATTTTGCAGCTATTCCTCTGTCTTATCAGTTTTCTTATTCTATTAAATTTCTGATAAGTAGAATCCAACACAACCCCCATCTGCAGGACATGGTGATCTGTGATGTTATAGTAGGCTTGGAGAAAGCTCTGCTATAATGGAAGGCCACGGTGTCACATAGGGTATGTGGGGCAGAGAGCAAGAAGGATGATCCATCCCTGGGACCCAGATACTATTCTGTGCTTTTTGGACCCCCTGTTTTCTTTCGTGGGGTTACAAGTGGCCATCTTCTCTGGCCACATGGAAAAAGCTGCCAGCAGCAAGAAGTAAAGAGACCATCGTGCAGAGAAAAGAGACAGACAGACAACCTGGGGAGTAAGAGATACTGTTAAAGAGAGAATATGAATGCAGATTCAGTCATCCCTGAAGGCATCATTTCTGGCCTTTAGTTAGTAAAAGAAATGTCGTGACAGCTTTTCTTACTAAACACATACTCATGTAGTATCTGTGAAATTAAAAATTGACTAAGGTGTTAATTCATAGAGGACTTCACAGTGCCCTAGAGTTTGTTTGCTCCAGTTCGTATTTCACATTTTGCCTTTCATTATACTTTGCAGAGGTTCTGTGTTATTCTTTTAGACATCTTGTAAGGAAGAGACTTACTGGATCTCTAGTTAGTATTTTGTGACCTAGAACTTCTACTTGAGAAGGAATGATCCTATGTCATTCCTCCTGTAGCTTAAATGTAGTTTTCATTGACTTATGGCTTTTAAAAGTCTGCAGTGCAGGCTGTGTTTGTTACAGACTTAACCTTTCTACCATCTTGTTGCCTGACTCTCAGATAGGTCATTTGGCTGTAGTATTGCCAACCTACGGTTCTCCAGGACTGGTTCAACTGGAAGGCCAATTATTCTAATCCTTTCTCATGGCTCTGTGTGATGATCCCCAAAGCTGTCCATTTGGCCAACAAGGAAAATCTACCTATACAACAGACATCCTTTAGTATGTAAGTAGAACCATCAATATATTATTTAACATAGACACACAGTCTGTATTAGTCAAGGTTCTCTTGGTTACAATTCAAATGAATTTAAGCAAAAAAAGTAATTTATTGGTTCACTTAACTAGGAAGTCCAGAAATGATGCCTTCAGGCATGACTGAATCTGCATTCATATTCTCTCTTTAACAGTATCTCTTACTCCCCAGGTTGTTTGTCTGTCTCTTTTCTTTTTTTTTTTTTTTTTGAGACGGAGTCTCGCTGTGTCGCACAGGCTGGAGTGCAGTGGCGCGATCTCGGCTCACTGCAAGCTCCGCCTCCCGGGTTCACGCCATTCTCCCGCCTCAGCCTCCGAGTAGCTGGGACTACAGGCGCCCGCCACCACGCCCGGCTAGTTTTCGTCTGTCTCTTTTCTCTGCACCATAGTCTCTTTACTTCTTGCTGCTGGCAACTTTTTCCATGTGGCCAGAGAAGATGGCCACTTGTAATCCCAACTATACAATGTCTCACCTTGACAACAGGCAGAAAGAAAGCAGCACTCTTCTCTGTAGCTCTGTATCAATCTGAGACAAGACTCTTATTGACATTACATGCAGCATGTGCTTATGTTTGTTCTACTCAGTATATTCAGGGGAATGGAGTACTGTGAGTGACTAGGCCTAGGCCATCTGCTCAGCCCAGTTACAGAGGTAAAGAAGCAAAACTGATACCCCATCAAAAGCATATAGAATGGAGGAAGTATTTTCTTTAAAAAATTCAGAGGATAGGAGAAGGGAAGTGTGCTACATAATAGAAATTATGATTGCTATAGTTTGGCACATAAGTTGTTTCCTGTTAGTAACTCTTCTGAGGTTGAATACTGCTATGGTCTAAATGTTTTTGTCCTTCCAAAATTCATATGTTGAAACCTAATCCCCAATGTTATGTGTTAGAGTGCAGGGCTTTTGAGAGGTGATTACGTCATGAGAGAAGAACCCTCATGAACAAAATTAGCACTATTATAAAAGAGACTGCAGAGAGCTAGCTAGCTCCTTTCATTATGGGTTATAATGGTTATAATGGAAAGGTGTCCATCTATGAAGAAGCAAGTCCTCTCCAGACACTGAATCAGCTGGTGCCTTGATCTTGGATTTCCTAGCCTCCAGAACTGTGAGAAATAAATTGCTGTTATTTATAAGCCACCTAGCCTAAGGTATTTTGTAATAGCAGCCCAAATGAACCAAGGCAAATGCTAAAATTTCATAAGCTATCTGACAACCATTATCCTATTGTGTTTGATTAGGGAAATTTGTATGGCCGAGAAGAGAAAGGATATCTGGACTATAAAATCAAAGTTGATGTTTTATCATTTAGCTTCAGTTTTCTGTCACAGGATATTTTTTTCTGACCTTCGGATTTCAGAAGGTACTACACTGTTATACTGTTACCTGCTGTAAGATGATTATTAAATATCAAAGTCAGAGATTTTTGTTTTATAAATTCATGCCCTCCAAATGTAATTTTAGATATTTTACCAAGCAAAGGAATAAACATAAAATAACATAAAATCTCAAAAATTTTTCATACATTTTTTGTGTTGTGGTCTTATTAAAATTCATATTTCCTTTTATAAGAACTGAAGATAAACCCAGAGGACAAAAATTCAGTACATTAATATTCCATGAATACTGGGGATCAGTAAATCTAGCAATTTTCTTTCAACTACGTGCTAGGATTGGAATAATATCATGTAGAAAAGACAATTACTTGGTTTATACTTGTAACTCATGAAAATACGTACATTACAAGCTTGGCAAACTACATTTTCCAATTTCTCAAAAATATGTTTAGAAATGAATTCAAAAGGGCATCAGTGGAAAAATAGAGGAAATACTCTTACCTTGTGAAAAACAGGAGATAAATGACAATTCTAAAATGTCATAGTGCCACATTACCAAAATCTTTTTCATGCCTCTTATTCACATGCCCCAGTGAATGCATCTATATAAAGTTTCTTGGAAGTTGGAGATCTGAGGATCAGATGTAATGTCGTTCTAAAATAATCCAGGAGCTGGCTGAGTCTGCTTAAATTTTGTTTTATTTTAGTTTGTTTTTCAGAGAGGATGACTTGAGTTTTTTTATTGCCTCCCTTTTAGGAGATAAAAACCAAGCATGCTTTTTGGAGCTGCAGTAACAAAATTAACCATATATCAGAAACATTACGGTCTTAGATTTTCTGTTGCAATTCTTAGAACATGGCTATGCAATGTAATAATTTTGATTTTAGTTCCTCACACTAATTACAATTTTTAGGTGTACATTACATTGCAGTTCTAATTAATTGAGAGAATACTGGGTAGAAGAGCTTTTACCATACTAACTTTGGTCGTCAGTTAGAATTAAAGAGAAAAGGAAACAGGCAAACAAACTTCCTGAATGATTACAGAAAGTGATATCTGAGTAATAAATGTCAGATCAGGCTCTATTAGACCAAACAAATCCATAAATTAGGGAATTATCTAAAAAATTCAAACTGGACTTTATATAAATGGAATTTGGGGTTTGAATTTCTCCAATCAAAGTTGCACTCTGATCTGTACTGCCTGACATCATCAGATTGAGTTCACTCCACCTTGTGCTCTGTGGCCCTGACAGAAAGGGCGCTCTGAGGACACATATTCTCATTCAGTATTTTACACTCCATGATGATGGTCTCATCACTGTAAAAAGCTTAATGGTGGCTGCAAGAAAAGGCACCATAAAATGCATGTCAGCCCCTTGGGTTGCTAAATTTACTGAATTTGGAATATAGAAAAAGGTTCTTCCCACTTCCATATATGGAAAAAAACAGAGAATGGGCAAAAAAAAAAAAAAAAAAAGAAAAAGGAAAAGAAAAATAATAAGGTCAGGGAATATAAAAAGGGAAAAGTTCCTCCAGAATCATCTAGGACGAAAGCTGCCCTGACTGATTGAAGGATCCTGTGGCTGGGAAAGGGACAATAGCATTCCACATAGCATTCCACATGTTCAAGACCCAGCACAATAATGATTGGTCTTCCATCAGTTGATAGAGATCTTGAGCCCAAGACATCAAATCTATTAGACCAGGAACTCTATACTTCTCAAATGACTGTCTGCCCTTCTTTTCCCTCCTGCTACTTTACCAAATTTTGCAGTACTATGCCAAAGATTAAATTCCCTTGGATCAACATGGAATAATCAGCTAACATTTTTTCAAGCAATTACTAAGATCATCAACTTTTTTTAAAACATCAATTTTGCCAGAAAATTTTGGAAAAAGTTAAATAACTACATAATATACAACATAATATATTCTGTGAATCTGTAAGGTCCAACCTTGAGACTAGAAAGATGGTTTCCTTCTATAGGTGTGTCACTTCTGGTAAACCTCAGCACGCTCTGGAGTGCACCTTAATTCTCTGACCATAAGAGATGTATTAATGAATAAATTGAGAAGCACTGTGAAAAAGACACCTACAATCCTTCAGCTCTACTTTTACAGATAGTTATACACTTTTGTCTCTAATTCTCATAACAAATGGGGCATTTCATGTTTGAAAGACCCACTGGAAATCTATACTTGCATATCCTCACTTAGAAATAAGTAAGTCCTAATAATGCCTTATATATCTAGTCAATTTCAGATGTTCTTACTTGAGATATTTCATATATATATACTAAGATAAGATAAAAGAAAAGCAGTTTTCAACAATAACTAGGGATGGTTTATTCTTCAGTAGTTTGTTTTGAAAGGATTTTAAATTTACAGAAGAATTGCAAAAATAGAGCAGACAGTTCTCATATACTCTTTGTCTGATTTCCCTAATGGTATCATTTTCATATTCATGGTACATCTATCAAAACTAAGAAATTAGCATTGCTATAATACTATTAAACTACAGACTTCATTCAGATTTCCCAAGTTATTTCCACCTTTTTTCTGTTCCTGGATCTAACTGCATTCTTGCATTTTTACTTTCCTCTTATTCTTTTCAAATACTACAATAGATACAGCATTACTATTTTTAAGAGCTTTTCTCTTTCAGGATCATCAAAGGCAACTAATAGCTTCATAGTTTTTTAAAAAAATACTGTTAAACTTCTGCATTAAATCTGCTGGCTGCTTTAAAGCAATAAGAAATGTACTGTGTGGAATTTTAAGCTTAAGCATCAGGAAAATGGGTTAAAAACTACAACCATTTCTAGACACCTACAATCTCCTTCCTTCTAGCAAAATCCTTTTCAGCTAGGAACTGATTTTCTGATAGGCTAGATTTTATTGATTTCAGAAAAGCTCAGAACTTTTTGTTAGGAATTTTCTGGCTCACTTACAGCTCAAACTCCCACTCTCTTATGGCACAGATAAATTTTGAGTCACTTTGAGGCAAGGACCTGTTCTTACTCACTTTTGTATCCTGAACATTACCTTAAACTTGATAAATGTTTGTTGAATTAATGAACATATGAAATTTCCTAGAATCTTCAAGTTGGAGTGAATTTGAAAAAACTTGACACTTCCAGGTTAATTAGACTCCGGAGCCTTCACCTTTGACTGCCTTTGGGATGTTTTGGTGTAGATAGTGTCAAAGAGCTTGATAGGTGATGTGTTATAGACAGCTTCATGGAAATGTCATGAACCTGTGTAGAATACTGCCAGAAAACTCGCCAACTTTTAAATATCTAATGTTTCTTTTCTAAGAGAACTAACAAGAGCCCTTTTCTTCTCATAAATGTGCAATCAACAGATTATAGAGAAATATGTCCATAGCACAATGATAAACATCAAATGAAGTATTAGTCATATCCTGCTTGGGTATAAGCAATTTTCTAATAATAAAGCTATCATTCAAAGAGAAATAATTCTAGGGTTCTAAATACTGACATGTGAAGCCGACCAGGGCAGGAATGTGCTCAGTGATTACCCTACTGGTCTCAACATGTTACTGTTTTGCCACAATTCAAATTTAAATCTTGACGGCCTGGGTTTTTTGTCATCTGTCTGTCTGAG